TGTAGAAATAGAGCTATTAGACAATTAGAAAAAATAGTAGTGACAATCTGATACTAGTCAGTATATAGGCATTTCTAACCTCAAAAGAAAAGCAGAAAATAATTTTGACTACATAAAATATAAAACTCCAGTATATCCAAAACACATCATAAATGAAATTAAGAAACAATAGGCAAGCTATAAGAAACTTTGCAACCAAATATCAGAGGGTATATAAAGAGTTTTTATGAGTCAGTAAGTAAAGTCTTTGTCAAAGAAATATCAGAGTTAAGTCAAAGTTATGTTTTTTATAAGTAAAGTTATGTTCATTACAAGGCTATTCCTAATAAAAAACATGAGAAAAACCTAGAGTCAACAAATTAGAGAACAGTTACATAAATTGTGGTAAATTCTAAAAGAATAATTTTCAAGAAAGTAAAATCAAGAATCTCCTGCAAATATAAAGTGAACAAAGATTAAAGATTTTATTCTACTTATTAATTAATGAGGAAATTAGTAAGATGTTAAGACTGGCTCAAAGAGCACTTGAGGAGTTAGTATTTATCAACAATTTGATAAATGAATATTAATATAATAATATTGGTTTCATTATTAAACTGGTTAATATCCTAAATGGCAATACATTTCTAAATTTTGGAATTGTATTTCCTCTTGGAAAAAAAATTTGCATCTCAACTGGAAAAAAAATTTACAAGTTAACATAAAACTTCAGTAATTCCAGAACGTTTCTTAAACAGTAAAGAATAAGTTGAATAAAGCTTATTCTTAGAGATAATCTTTGGGAGGATTTTGTCCTATTTAACATTGAAAGGGTGTGCCATATTTTTGCAGTATTTCCAAGTTTTATATATTTTTCTTAATATGCCACATATGGAATAATAGAACTCATTAAAATTTGTAGCATAGATGAATAGTTTGGCACATGGAAAAAAATGTTCACACTATTCTGGTAAATGGAAAAGAGAGAAGATTAAGAAAATATTATGTACAGTTTGATCCAAGTTTTAAAACCAATGGGTAAAAAGTTTGGAAAATAGGTACACAGAAAACCATATTCATCAGAATGTTAATAGTGGGACTTCTGGTTTCAGCTCTGGTATGTAAGGAGTATGGAAGTCATCACTCCCTTTCTTACAGCAAGAAAAAGCCAAACAAACCGGCCCAACCAAGAACTGAGGTTGCAACCAAAATTGCAGGTCAAATCATTACCTTGAAATCTGAAGAGAAATGCAAATCCAGAGTCACAGCTAACATTTGCTTACCTGGAGCAGAGGCCTCTGGAGCCATAAACTGGTAGAATTTTTCACTGGTAATTTTGACAAATTGTTGGAAGCTGAGTGTGAACTGATGTGAGAATAAAAAACTCATGGGGGGTCATGGTCTTGGTTTAATGAATTTTGCTTGCAGGAAATCCACTCGTTTCTCACAATGAAGACCCAAGAGTGATCTACCTTATGACTCTGGCAAGAGAAGGGACGACTAATCATTATGAAATACACCCAGAGGATTCTCCATAAGAAAGGCCCAGACTCCTGGGAAAAAGTCTTTATCAGAACTTTATTCCAGCTGGGGGAAAAGATGTCCTCCCACTCTCATTCCCTCTAGACTTCCTATTTCATTGAAGGGAGTTTAGCAAAAAAAGCTATCCCATTGGAGAAACATTTGTGAAGGTCATGGACCACAGAAAGAGGCTCACTAAAAAACCGAGATTCTGTCATAAGATTATAGAACATTTCTTCTCCCTCATGTCTTACCAGGACACCAACTTGGCTCCAATCTAATAATGGTGGATTACAGCAGAAAGAGCTGCAAGACACAGACTCCCTGAGGAGGAATATTTAGGGAAGCCCAAAGTTAAGAGGGGAGAAAAAAACAAGGATACAAGCAGAACTTAAAGACTCCGACATCTACAAGCTACAATAAATACTAAACACAGCCCAGCCCCTCGTCAGATTAAAACCCCTAGACCTCATACTAAAGGACTGTTTACCTCAATTCCTATTACCTAATGGCTTTCAACAGAATATTTCAAGGCACATCGAAGGGCAAGAGAAGACACAGTCTGAAGGGGCAAAGCAAGCATCAGAACCAAATTCAGATACGAGACATGGGTGTTAGAATTATCACACAGAGAACTAAAAGTTATTAGAATTAATATGTTAAGGGCTCTACTGGAAAAAGTAGCAGGTACAAACTGAAAGGAAAATCTGAATCAAGTATGGACTTTTAAAATAATAATGTATCAAGGTTAATTCATTAATTATAGCAAATAAACTATACTAATGTAAGATGTTAATAAGAGAAAGTGAGTCTAGGGCATATGAGAACTCAGTCCCATCGTCACCATTTTTCTGTAAGTCTGAAACTATTGTAAAATAAAAAGTTTGTTTAAAAATATTAATAGTGGTTTTCTCTGCCTGGTGTTGTTATGGATCATTGAAAATACTTTCTCTTTGTATTTTTGAGTGTTCTGAATTGGTTATAATATACTCATATTACTTCTAAAACCAGAAAAAATGTTTTCTTATATTAGAAAGTACATATTTTGTTTTTAAAAAAAACTACTTTCAGATTGTTTCTTCTTTATTTGTTTGTTTGTTTGTTTTCTTCCAGTTACATAACAGGCTTCCTGAGGGTAAGGCTAATATTCTTTCTTTTTGTTCTCGTTCTTCCTCAGCATCGCACCCTATCACATCCATCATAATGCCCTGCTCGTAGTCCTAGATCAATACATACTTGTTAACTGACACCAACTAGTTACATCTAAATTGTTACCCTGAAAAAGGATCAGTTTGGTATTTTTGTTCAATTTTAATGAGATCGACTTTATGGCCAAAATATGCATGAAGAAATGAATCAATGAAACATAGAAGAACTCAAAAGAAGTCCAACATAGTTAATTATTGGATGCCTTAACCTGGCTTTTGTTTAAAGAGCAGCATCTAATTGAGGATTTATGGCCAATCGATTTGGCCAAGTTGAGCTATATGGTGAATTATGTCAAAAGTCATAAAGACCACAGCTAAAACTATTGTCATGGCAGGAGCTCACTTTATAGTCTTTGGAGGAACCATTTCTATAGTGAGCCCTGAAAGGATCACTTGAGTACACTTCAATTTTTCATTGAGCATAATTTGCAGAAATTTCCCTTTGGGGCCAAGTTCCTTTGCCCTAGTCTGGTGCTAACTTCTTTGTCTACTTTGTGAGGACAGAAAGTTTGTACAAAACACTTGTGGCCATGTTTCTGTTATGTGAGTGGGCCAAACCAAACTTCAGTCATAGTTGTCTTTATTTTATGAAGATTTAAAGCCAGCATTGACCTCATGTCCTTCATCAGTATCTACAAGAAAGGCTGCAGCCAACAGCAGGAGGCCCAAACACAGCCAGGCCACCCAGATTCCGCCTGCCGCCTACCACTGGTGAGAACGCACTTAAGAAGTCCTTCAAGATTTACTTCACACCCAGGAGCATAATGGGAAGTGCCTGCAGGTTCAGGGTCCTGCTTTGTGTGTGGATATGTGAAGTAGCCGCATGGCCTTTCTGCCCCAGAAATGACCCTTCTGCACCATCCCTTGATATGTAGAAACAGAATGCAAACAGGGAGAGCTGGGCTATAGGCACATGTGTATGAGGCTTGGATAACTGCTCACACCCACTTGGGAAGAAAGTTTTTAAATATTCCCTAGGTGTTCTAGAGAACTCCAGCTTTGGTTCTGCTGCTACCTTTGTGCTCCTAAACTTGGCATTTGAAGATAATAGTTGTTAACGGTTCTATTTTCTTCCTTTTTTAAGAGTGTTTTGGCAAAACTCAGATTCACTCAGTGGAGATGACGGTCTCTCATCTCCAACTGATGAAGGAAAGAAACTGACCAAAAGTCTCTCTCTTTTTATGTTACGTTTATTGAAATAATCAGAGAATACAAAGTAATTTGCTGTAATAAAACAGTATAAAGTAAATGTCTGTGCCATGTTCAAATGACTCTTACATAAAACCCTTCACTCGCTCTCGAGTTTGTAAGCTTACTCCAATATTCTTGTCTTTGACTGCCATGTAACTCTTCTTACTTTGAGGAGTATGCCTTACTGTTAATTTTCTCCCCTCTTCAGCTTTGGAATTAACTTGTTAAATTAATCTCATCTTCATTTATTTTACAGTGTCTTCATGTTTAAATGCTGATTTTATGAACATCTGTTTCAATCACAATTGCAAACCTATTACTTTTATGAGCCATACATATTTTAAAGAGATTTACTGCTGACCTTTGTTGGCAAATTGAATGTTTTTGTTGTCAGTAACATTTCTGTAATTGATGCCATTGTTACTGCCACCCGGATAGTGGTTTCAAATGAGATATGTTTGGGGAAATCCTTTCACACTTAAACACATTCAGTCAGACAGACATCACTTTAAAATTGTGTAGCTTTGGGAAAAAGAAGTAAGAGTGTAAAATCTTGCAACAGGAGGCGAAGGTAAACAACCATTCAATCTTCTACTTTGAAACAGTTTTAAAGTTTTATATTTGCTAAAAGTGTTTTTTCCCCTCCCCGGTACTTGTCATTTAATAATACAATTGGAAGAGCTGCACTACTTACATCACTGCTCTGTGACTATCGATAATTCCATCAATCAAAGTAAGATGAATTATACGTTCAATTTTCCACTCACTTAGGAAAAAGTACTGTTTTTCAGAGTCAGGTAGTAGAGCAAAACACTGCCTAAGCATTTGACCTCGAGTCTCTATAGAGTTGTTTTGAATTCTCTCTTCTGTGTGTCAGGAATCTAGAAAAGTGAGAGAAACTTTGTCTCTCACAGCTGACGAAAGTGGCAGGCTGTTCAAAATATCTCCCAATTTAATATGTACGTAGGCTGAATCTTGCTTTCATCCTGGAGCAGGTAATCAGAGTTGAAGTACCGTGGAGGAATGGGGTGGGAAAGCCATCCCCTTAAGATGACAAGCTTATTCTCTAATCCATCTTAGAGGAAACTTGCTTGTACTTAGTCATGATCATTCCAGTTCCGGACCCAATGACGTATTCCCACTTCTGGCACCAGAAGAATTTGGTTTGTTTTAAAATTATCTACAATTATGTATCAGATTGTTTGAATCGGATGGAAATGTTTAACGCCCCTGATGGACAGTGTGATTTCTGTGTTTCTGTTTGGGTGTTTCTTTAAACCTTAGACAATGAAAGAGTATTTTATTAGCATATGGTAGGTTGCTAATTGTCATTTCAAGACCTTACATTATGAAATAATGTTATTAAAGTCCAAAAGTACATGGCAGTTATGTAAACTCATACAAATTATATATTTAAATTAATTCTTTTCTTACCAATAAAATATTGTCTTTTTACACTTCACAATTCAAAACAGAGAGTGATAGTATTTCCATTCTTTCAGCACAGGAAACAGCTGTAAATCACAATTATTATAATATCTGTTATATGTCTTTTACCTGTTGCATTATTGGATAAGAGTGCATTTCGTTTGCTTTTTTATTATCCTGATCACAATCATCTCCTTTTTGCCACTTCCTCATTATAAAAATAATATATACCTACTGTAGGAATCTTGGAAGACATAGAAAAGTATCAAAAGTAAATCAATTTAACCTGCAATACAGTGTAATTATTTCAGACATTCAAAACATTACCTTCTGAATATGGCTTTGGATCTGGATTTTATCACTAAATATTATATCATTTTCCTATCTTACTGTAAAGTTTACAAAGGAGATAAATTTGATGCTTGTGAATTTTCTATCAGAGTTTTACAATAATAGATTTAGTTGTTCACCTAATTTTGCACAAATAGTTTGATTCTAATTTTTTAAAACATAAATAATATCATAATAAATACTTTTGCATATAAATATTTTTGCACATAGCTAATTTTCTTTCAGGATAAACTCCTAAAAGAATTTATAGGGTAAAAGGCTAATTCTTCCCAAGGAAATAGATAACATTTGAAAGTTTCTAAATTTCCCTTGAGAAAAGGTACGCTGATTTACAGTCCTATAGCAGAGTATGAGAATGATCATTTTACATGCTCACTTATGGTGGCTATTAGACCTTAAAAGGATTATTGAAGAATGAAAAATATTTAACTACTGTTTTAATTTGTATTTTTAAAATTCTAGAGATTTAGCTTTTTTCATTATTACCTTTCAGATGCTGCTTTTGTAATTTACTGTTTATTTCTTTGGTCCATTTTTCCATGGGTTATTGTTTCTTACTGAATTGTAAGAGCTCTTTATATATTAAGGATATCAACCTATTACATTATATTTATGTTCTAAGCATTTTTTTCCCATTTGTTGCTTGTCTTTCTTGTGTATAAGCTTCTTCTATATAGAGAAGTTAATTTTTATGTCACCAAATCTATTTCTTTTTTTGCTACTATACCTAGAGAGCCTGCTGGCATCCAGAGATTATTTAATATTTAATTATTTTCTTCTTTTTAATATAAATCTTTATCTATCAGGAATTTACTTTGAGATATGGTGTGAATTAAAGATTTTATTTAACTTTTTCCCAAACAGTGAACTAATTTTTCTTGCTCAATTTGTCCACTACTCTTTCCTCATGATTCCATCTTTACCATGTACATAATTTGATAATATAATAGAGTCTTTGGGGGCTCTCTATGCTGTTTTATTGACTCTTCTTATTTATTGTTATTGAGATTTAATAGTCATAACATTGTAATAAAACCCATTTATTAAAGTAAGGTGAATAACTTTTTCTCCCTCAAGAATACTGCTCCCAGGATAGCTAATATTATAGAATTGTCCAACATGAAAAATTTCCCATTCTTTCAGGAAAAATTTTATTTCTTTAGATAGAAGATGTACTCATTTTGAATTTCACCTCTGAAATTGAGATTTGTCCTGCAGTCAATGTTAGCAAACAGCAGTTATGAAATAGTTATAAGAACACACACTAGCTTGGTCATAGCTGTTCATGCTGCTGTCACCGCAATTATATTTTGTGCATTGCTAATATTACATGTGTTGAATTTTAACAACCTCTTAAAAGAGGTTCTCAAGATTACACTCTGGGTATTGAAAAGAAGTTATTGTAAAATTAGATGTGAAAATTGAACAGAAGACATATTTATTGGTGGAAGAGGGACTTAGATTTCATATTATTTAGCAAGAGAAACACCTGTGTGCTTTATCTGACCTAACCAATGAAGATGCCTCCTAGATGAAGCTCTTACATTCGAGAAAAGGCTTGCATATCATGCTAAGCAGTGCACTAAAGACAGGAGAAATAGCCAAATCCCTTGGAATAGATGAAAGAAATTTCAAAGCAGTAAGGACCATATGTGACTGGTTCATGCATCGTGTAGGGCTATTCCTAAGACATTAAATTATCAGAAACAACTTGCTAACTTTGAGCAGAACCTGCTTAGCTTCCAGCATCATGTGATTGAATTGAGTAAAAAAAAGTGTTGGTATCAAAACTTGCAAAGTGAGTATAAGAGACTTGGAAGAAAATATTGGAGATAGCAGTGGAGTACTTTTTAAAAATTCAGAATCATCAATCCTCTTTAAGTCACCAGGAATAATATGGTGACAAAATTTCCATCTATATAAGTATAACATTTTCTTCAGTGAGAAAAAAAATTGCATTGAAAATTTAATTGCCAGGGTTGGTACTACATACAATAATGGTGCCTCTTATGATGAATACATAGTATCTTGACTGAATGAGAAACAGTCATGGGTTTGATTTTCTTATTCTTTAGTGACTTAGTATACACACACGGTAAATCTGTCTTTGCTTATAAAACTCTATGAAGGGATTTTGAAGTCCCAACCACTATAATAGAGCTAAACTTCTTGAAGAGCATAATAGTACTGCAACCTCTTTGTAGAAAAACCACTATCTCAATTGGTAAGCCTGAGAACTTGGAAGTGGTTCTTTCAAATCTAACTCATCTCTAGGGCTCAACTTTCCAAGTTGGTTTCACTTAAAGTAATTTCTTAGACAGCCTCAAGTCATTTGGGGCGATTTTGAGTGTCCATCCATGCTTGACTCCAATCTGTACTTTCTAACAAGACCTTCAGTATCTTAGTTTTCCAAACCCCACCTTTTCAGTGAAGTTTTCTTGGAACAGGCAGAGAATGGATGGCTTCTAGTCTCTTATCCTGAGAAGCATTTGTATTTGAATGTCTATTTCTTTCATTCATGTGCTTTAGATTTCAAGTGCAGATTTTATCTTAGTCATTCCACCTTTACCAGTTTCTCTTGTCAGTGTTCCCAACAGCTTTGGACAATTCTCTCCTGCCTCTGGTGGTTGGTGTTCTCTTGCTGCCAGGGACCTCTTCTGTCTTTCTAGACTTTCCTGGGTTTTCTTTACTTTCCTTTTCTGTATAATGTGGTATCACCTGGTTCTCCTAAAAAAGTGTAAAATGCCTCTTTCACCTTTTGCCTTTTTCCACCCCATCTTCCTTTGCACTAAATTTGCAATCTCTGGAACATGGTCATTACCTAGAATGCCAAATGTAGGTCAATTGATGTTGCTGCAAAAAGCACTGTAACATCTCTTTCATGCTTATTACAGAGAAAATACAAGATACACAATGCTGCTTTGAGAAAAAAGGTGACTATGATCTAGCTCTTACTCCAAAAAAGTATTAAGAAAATAAAAGCTTAATACGTTGTTCATATAATGCATTCAACATATTTATAGTAACATAATTTAAAATAATCCTTTTTTTCCTGCTGATTTGTGATGCCAGTTTTACCACATACAAAATTCTTATAGTTACCTTATTGTCTTGTATTCTGTATTATAATTCTATCTTTGATGAAATCTTGGACCAGAGTATAAGGCACAGAACAGGAATTACTTCAGGATAGGAAGACTCTTGCTTCTTTGTAGGTTTGATGGTTTAAAAATATATCCATAAAACTTTTGATTATTCTCCCCATTTAATGTGGAATCCAATTCTTTTCTTCTTAAGTGAGGGCTTGACTTAGTGATGTGCTTCTAACAAACAGAATGTGGCAGAAGTAATGGTATGTGACTTCTGAGGCTAGATCATAAAAGGCATTGCAGCCTCCATCTTGTTCTCTTTCTTTTTCTCTCCACCAGTCTCTCTGGGGGGAACCAGCTGCCATTTAGTGAGTATGCTCAAGCAGTCCTGAGAAGAGGCCCACGTGGCAAGGAATTGAACCTTCCTGCCAATGCTAGAGAGGAATTGGGGCCTCTCACCAACAGACATGTGAGTAACCATGTTGGAAGCAGATCTCCTAGCTCCAGTAAACCTTCAGATGATTTCGGCCCCAGCCAATAGCTTATCAGCAACCTCAAGAAGGTCCCTGAGCCAGAATACCCAGCTAAGCCCCTCCCAAATCTCTGATCCACAGAAACTGTGCCATAATAAATGTTTGTTGTTTTAATCTGCTAGGTTTTAGGGTAATTTGAAAAGAGAATTAAACAGAAACAGGTGACTGTAGCCAAGGTAGATCATACCTCCAAAATATTTGCTGGTGAAAGGCAGTAGCTGGAGTAAGGGAGGGGAGGCTTTTGGGATGGGGTCAGGTGTAGTCTACCTTGGCCACACAGTTTGTCCATCCTATTTCCAACATCTTAATCTTCCCTGTATCAGTGTATGTTGGGGGTGACCCTATGTTTCGCAGTCACCATATCTATCGGAAGAGGGAAGAGAGAAGATTATCTGTTCTTTTTTTTAAAAGTCATGCTTGTAGGCACTGTGTTACGCATAGTTCTCGGCAGCCATTACCCATACTGAAAGATGAAGACTTCAGTGGACAGAGTGCAGGAGGCTAATCTGAGCTGTTCCCCAGCACTGACAGAACCATAATTTAATTTTTAGAATTTGTAATTTGAACTGTATCTATTTTCAGCCAGAAATCAAATTGATGCATACACATTATCAGTGATCATTCTTTAAGCATAGAAATAAATCCAGAATGAGAAAGAGGAAGGAAAAGTGAACTAGCAGTTACTGAGGACCCCACTATATGCCAGGTATTG